AATTGCAACCTCATCCAAAAAAAAAAAAAGAGGGGGGCAGACATCTCAGGCAAACTTTGGTAAGGCTTAGGCAGGCAATAAATGCACTTGCAGCTTGCTCAGCTCCTGTGGCCCTCCTTCTCACCCCCACAAAGGCTGTCTAATGGTGTCACCACATGGAAGACAGACAGGACCCATGGCGAAGCCGGAGTCTATGTCCAATAAATAAATCTATTTGCCAGTTAGACAAGCCAGGGTTCTAGCCAACTGAAAATGTTACCTATTAGGCCCAGGCACCTTTCCCAGCCACTTTACTCATCATTTTAGAAAATAGCACTCAACTTCTAACCTTGGGAAGCTACATCTGAACTCCAACTCACAAGTGAGAGCTGGGGCCATCCAGAGCAGAACTTCCTCAGGTCTGCACTCTGATGGCTGGGCTGACTTCAAAGCAAAGCAAAGCTGACAAGTTGAAGATCCCTATGACCCACTCCAAACCTTAACTCTATCTCACCTTCTCCCTCATCCTTCCCACCTAAGGTAAGTTACAATGTAAATGGTGGATAATTATTTAATTTTAATAGGACAAGATTTACATTTTAATAACCCCCGAAAGAATGAAGCTCAAATATTAGCCCTTCAGGGAGGCTAAATAGGAAAAAAATCTTTGAGTATCTTGAAGTATACCTGGTAGTAAAACAAAGTACAGTATTTAAGTGTCAGCTTTTAGTTGAAAGGGGTATTGTTTTTAAGTATAGGGAAAGGTTGGAAGATATTTATGTCTAAATGTCTGTAATCCTTATCTTTCGTGAATTACTTGAATTATAGCCCACAGTAAGATGATTTCATTGAAAGTTTAAAAGACTCCAATAACTTCGAGGTTTTAATAAAGCCTGAGGCTTTGAGGCCTGACTGAGAAGCACAGAGGAACTTGAAGGCTTTGGGGCAGTAAATTTCCCCAGGAAGCAAGTCTTACAAAAAAGAGGGAGACCTTTTCTCAGCCAGGACTTTACCTAGAGATGACGAGGTTCCCTAAACACTCTGAGTCACGCTCCATAAAACTACCTAAGTGTACATCTGCGGGCGTGGCCCCGGGAGCCCATCGGGAAGACAGGGAGCCGTGGCTCTGCTGGCTATCTCTGAACTCTTCCGTGCTAGCGACAGAGATGCTACAGGCTCTCCAGGACAACACGGCCCTCACAATTCTGCTTGCTTTCTAAGAAAAGGGCTTCAGGTCCTCTCCAAAGTATACAG